GGAGGGAAATGCATGGGACTATGGTGATGGCACACGGGTGACTTGGTGATGGGAAACCCACGGGGATTACAATTGAGATGGGGAAAAAAATGTACAAAATGATGTAAAAATAAACTTTTGTAAAAAAAAAAATGTCTGTGGCCTGGAGAAACTTCTCAGCCAGAAGCTTGATAATTCACCCTGCAGGATGATTGAAGTTTCCCTCTACAATCTATGTTTTATTGTCTAGGTTTTGTCCTCCCATTAGGACTCCACATTGGGAAGCTATGATGCTCACAAAGCCTTGTTCTCCTGGATTCCAACCAAATGTGCCTGACTAGCCATGGAGGTCAGAAGGCAGAAAACTTGGTGTTTTGCTCACAGGAATTTCATGGGCTCCTAAAAGGACCTAAAGGGCAGAGGAACAGTCAACGGAACTGGTTGGTTTTTGATCACAGGAGTGAGTCCTTGAAGCAAGGATGGGATGTTTTTAACAAGCAATTGTCATGACCAGCAGAGAATCCTCACAGGGGGTGAATAGCACCGAGCAGTTTCTCCCTGTAATTCCCTAATGGAATTGTCTTCTCTTAAAACTTTCCAGTCTCCCACCATCTGACCTCAGGTTCCTCAGGAATCCACCAAAATGGGACCAGTATGAAGAGGGAGAGTCCCGATAAACCCATTTCTCTGACCTGCCTCCTGACCAAATTCTAGAATGTTCAGAGTAAGTTCAGAAACTCTTAAAGTAGTTTCTGAATTTCATCATCTTGATTTCCTGTTTTAGGGCATACCTGTGGCATGAAATGTGCTGATTATAACACTTTCTTTTAGTCAGACAACTTGGGCTGTCAACTTTTTTGGTGATTTTTCCCAGGGGTGTTGTCCAGATGCCCTTTACCTTCTGTTGTCTCCCTCCCTCTTATACTGTGAGGCCCAGTTTGGGGCAAAAAACAGCACATCCTCACTGTGACCTTTTCCCACTAAACAAAGAACCTTACTCTGCCCACAGGAGATGCACCTCTGCCCACCAGAGGTGCACAGAGGCCACGGAGGAGGCACCTCCAGAAGATGCGTATTACTCGGGCTACCATGATGACAAAGAGCTTTCCAGATCCACAATTTGGAAAGTTTTCATGTGGCCAAAATGTCAGATCCTTTAAGAGTCAGAATTGGACTGTGGATTTGGCAACCACTGCCTTCCTTCTATGCTTATTTCCCCGCTGTTTGCTTGGTTTGTTGTTTTCACATCCTCCTCCAAAGTTCCTTTTTCCTTTTTTAAATTGAAGTACCACTGACAGATAACATACTAGTTTCAGGTGCACAATATATGGTTCAATTCTCGTGTATATTATGAAATGAGCACCACAGTAAGTCTAGCTGATATCTATTATCATACATAATTATAATTTTGTTCTTGGGATGAAGACTTTGAAAAGCTACATTATTATAAATAATTCTCTGACAATTTTCCTGTATAATAAGATGACTCTAGATTATAGACTCATTTGGAGGTAACTATGCCTTAAATTTGGAGACTTTTCATAATTTCACTCTTTCTTATGTAATTTTAAGGGAGTAACTTATGGAATGGAGTGAGGGTTGAACCTTCTAGGTTAGTATTTGCATTTGTGAGGGGCCTGTCTCTGCCTCCAAGATCTTTAACCCTGTCAATCTTCTTCCTACCTCCACTCTGGGGTCTATGTTTGATTGTCTCATTTTTGTCCTCTGGCTAGAACACCACATTTGGGAGTTACAAAGCCCACAAAGTCTCTACTAAATCCCACTCCTTAATTATTTAATATTCCCAAACATTAACTTGTATTCCACATTCGTCCTAGTAGTATGCAGTCACCACAATAACAAATAAACAACACAAATTCAACATAAACAAAACCATATAAAGAAGAGCTTGAATTCCTTGGAGATGACTTCATTTTTTAAAGCATTATTTTGACTACATTCTCTCTGTCTCTCTTTTCTCAGTTCTTTTCTGTCAATAATCTAAAAGAGCATATAATGCTGATTATGGCTTTAACTTTCTAAGAAAACCTCTATAAATTTTTGTCATTTTCTAAGACAGTTCAGCAGTGTATTAAGGAAGATTGAATATACCTGTTATTAACCCAACTTCTGACTTAAATCAGTCACAGGAAGTTTCTACATCTGAGTCTTGGTTCCCAGGTCCTGATTCCAAAAACAAAAGGGGGAGAAAAAAAAAAAAAAAACAGCTAGTGTTAGCTCAGATATCATTGTCTTACTCTTCTAGAAATTTCCCAGTGGTTGTGTCAGCATTTTAGACTCTCACTGCCTACAATCACATCAACTACATGTCATGACTTCTGAGCCCACTTATTCAAAATCAAACTCCTTTATTTCTTCCCTGTTACCTAGGCATTCATATTTCACCATTAAATTAAAAAAAAAGAATTATTTACAAAGGTAGTTAACAAAAAAGAATATTTACAAAGGTAGTTAGTTTCTTAAACATCATGTTTCCTGGAATGACATAGAGGCATTAGGTATCACGGAAAATTTTGAGAGTACATCACTGCAGCGTTCATATCCTAGCCCAACTCTCACTACCTGTGTGAACATTAGCTAACACTGGCCTCTAAGATATTGAATAGAGGTGATGGAGGTGACACTGGCGAAAGCCTCTAACTCAGCAGCCCTGAGCCTGGTAAGTTGTACATTCAATGCGTTCTTGTTTCTGTTGGGCCCTGCACTGCCAAGAAAAGAAAATTCTAAGCACTTTTTAGTATGCCAGAGACAGAATCTCTGTATATGCAGTAAAAATCAAACAGGTGGGCCCTCCCTGGTGGCGCAGCAGGTTAAAGCACTGCACTAAGAAATTTAAGCCACTTCCGCATGAGTTTGATCCCCGCCTGCCCCGGAGGTGACCAC